AAATGCGGTTAATTGGAAGGGTCGAAGCGGGCCTCGTTTCTGGAATTTCCTCTTGGGTATTCTTATAGGGGTTATTAAGCAGTCTCCATGAGCTGTTCGAAGGACGAGATTGAATCTAAAGAGTGAATATGTTTGCCAACACAATCGGGCACCTCAATAAGCCGCGTCTTATTTCAGCCATATCTCGGCCATAAAAGCTAAAACAAAACCAAAATGCCTGCGGTGCAGTCTGGTGTTTGTAAAGCCTGGAGGAAGGACAGCCACTAGATACAGTTATGTGTAGTTTTTGCATCTTGGTGCGACTGTTTACAAGCCGACATCTGTGGATAACGCTGCTCGACCATTAATAATATTATTGCTAATCGAAAACGCACTTCAGCATTCCGGACGGGAAAGCTCTGTTAGAACATACCCACGCTTTGCTCATACCTGCACAGATATTGTTGATGTCTAGGGGAGTAGCGAGTTCCCTAAACGATCGGTGAGCGCCAATCTGTGCTAGTTCGATCATCGCAGCAATCGCCGGTCTACTACTGTAGATATTACAGATCGAAACCAGCAAGAAAAGTCCGTGACGCAGTGGATAAAGCGTTAGACTTCCGATGAGAAAGGTCGGCTATGGCTGGCACATCACGGCTAATGAGCCAGAAGTGGCCATTCTAGTCTTCTCCCTTGTCATTACCAGTAATCTTCTGCCTACAATATATGCTCGTTGTTGAGCGGTTGCCGGCGGGACTCGAGAGCGAGCCCCAAGGCCCAACGGGACCAGTGAGTTTCGCAACCGATCGTTAAACGCATACCTACCATTGTATTGGACATATGCAATTTCCATTCCTTCCGGAGGGCAATGCTTAAATCCCAGTCACAAAAATAATGATTAATGCATGTACACGCTACTCCATAATTTACAGTAACATAAATATTGCAACTTTAATATTCTTGTCTACCGTTTTTAATACGGTCTTCCAAACCAATGCCTATTACCCTTACACATACTGAACTACTTCCTGGGGTGGCACATCGACCATGCGCCTATGGTGAAATTTTTTA